AAACTCCAGCACATCAAGAAATGGCAGAACTTTCTCTCTCTTTGATGAAATCAATTCTTCTACTTCCAAGTACAAAATTTGACTTTTACTTATAGGTTACAACAACATAAAACAAAAAGCTGGACAAGGCTGAAGGTATATGACTGTGGTAACATGTAGTTCATCAGAAGATGGATATTTCCTCGTTCAGAAAAGAAAAAAAAACCTTTACAGTCTTTCCCTTTCTCTGCAGCACATTTCCCTTTTTTAGCACATTTCTGAGGTAAATCCTCTTGGAGATGAAACAAAGACAGACAGCTATCATGCTGTGGACCAGAAGAAATGAAGTCTGCCAATTTGTATCATCTGTTCTTCAAGAAGGCCCTTGGGTCCTTAAAAAAACTTTTTTTAAGGTGAGTAACTCATTTCAAAACAGCCAAAAATATTATCTGCACTTTCAGCACCATGGTTTTTGACCTTCAGGAAAAAAGGGCATGGGGGGTTGGGGGGGGGGAAGGCAGAGAAGAAAACACACATACACACACAAGCTGTCCAGTTTGAAAAGCTCTTCAAATAATTTGTCTCAATGATTCTCTTTGGGCAAACAAAATAAATGATAACACCATTATCAAAACTTTACAAGGTTAGGGACTTAAGACTACCTAGAAATTTGTTTTTATCTTGGACAGTTCGCATCAAAACAGAGTAATGCTGCCTAAGATTGCATAAGGCATTATCACAGCCAAAAAAATATGCATTCAATGCCTTGGCAAAATATAGCCAGCAAAAGATTGAAAGCCCCGTTAACTTTTTAGTATCCGCTCTATTGCGGAATTAAAACTGTTTTAACTGTAGCTGACCCCAAGGAGGGGAAAAAAGAAATAACTTAAGAAAAAAAAAAATTTTTTTCAGTAGAACCTGTCCATAATTATGATTTCCCGAGCATTATCGATTTATTGGCAATATTTAGAATGAACAACACTTCTCTATGCTGTACTCTTTAAAACTTAAAAAAAAAAAAAAAAATCCTCTCTAAAACCAGTTTACTTTTAGCCTTAAAGAGCCTTACAACAAATTTTTGGAACATATCAGAGGTTCAGAAGACACTGTTCTAACACTTAAACAGTAGGAAATACTGCAAAAAAAAGCTGAGGATACTCTAGATCCCACAGCAATCCTACCATTCTTGAGAATTATTATAATTAAACTCAAGAAAGTCTTAAAGAATATGGCACTGACGTGTAATTCAAAATTTTTCCGGTAGTCAAAAGGCCAGGAGATTTTTTTTTTTCCTCCTTGCAGAAAACAAGCAACCTATTCTCTTTAAAATGCAGTGAATGTAGTACAGTCTTTGAAACAGACTATACAATTATGTCCTAACTTATTAATAAAGTGCAGCGTTTTTTCTTTTAAGAACTGACCTTTAATTACGCCATTAGCACCATTCAGTGTGACCCTAGTCACATTAGTGAAGTAGTTACCTGCAGTTAAATCACTTCTTGCTGCACTGATCTACATAAGGCTGCTTTTTCTCCCCCGAATCTTTGGTAGATTACATCTTAGTATTCCCAAACAGACAGGAAGAAACATGCCAGAAAATAAACCTTGTTTTCTCAATCCACTTCAAAACATTTCTAAATTCTCTCAACACAGATTAACTGTGAAATAAATCTGCTCTGTTCTGTTGCTTAGATTTTGGAAACTATATCAGAGTGTTGTAAAACAATAGGTTTGGCCAGACTTGACCAACACAAACATTCATCAGTACTACCAAATACCAGGAGATTCAATACTCTCAATATATACTAGGCTGCTTTACTACTACTTGTGTGAAATGAATAGGACGTTTCAAAAAGTCAAGACTGGATAAGTAGGTGGGCATAAGACTGCCACAGAGTAAACGAGGGTCCGAAAGTAACAGCACAGCAACTACTCTGAAGTACTTTCCTGGGTGCACATTCTCTTACCTCACAGCAAATATGAGGCAACGGGCAGGCCACCTCATACTTATCTGTGGAATAAAAGAATTAACACAACCCATTATTGACAAAACAGTGACATGCTGCCAGTTATAATTGCCTTGCGGTACTCTGCATGCATATCCAACCCAATACTCATACACGCCACGCATCCTCACCCACCCACTACAGAAATTGGGGGAAACAGAAACAACATGTTGCGGTGGTAAGCAACCCTAAAAAGAAAGGCAACATTCTGATAACCAAAATACGTTCAATTTAAAACTACTAACAGTTAAACGTCGTCTTCTAAAACACTACTGGGGTTAAGAGCAATCCCTCGACACTTCTTTACAGAGTCAAAGCAACATAAGAAAAATTACAATCCTGAACTCTTACACTCCTTGGAAGCATTAAAAAAAAAAAAAAAAAAGTCCAGACTGACAGATAACTGCTTAAGCGAAGAGAACCTTTCAATAACGTGTGTTCTGTCATTTCAGGTCAAGCAAATTTTAACTATAAAACTGCCTACTGAGCACCCCATTGTTTGATGTTTTCCCAAATACTCACTCGATCTGTCTTTGGGCTAAAAGAAGAACGTTACCTTACCTTTCAGAGACTTCTTGTTTTAGCTTTGGCACATCACCCGAAGACAGGTCAGTGTCCAGGAAACCCAGGAAGTCCCTTTCTGCATTAAAGGATTCTTTTTCCAAATCAGTATCTGATGGATTCTGAACAATGAATGAAGAATCTAAACTTCTCTGATGCAAATCCAACGCATCAACTTCAGCAGGGCGACCACGATGGCTGGGAGAGCTAGAAACGCTACCCCCTTCCAGTTCTAAGTTACTGTTTTGTTTCACATCACGCTGAGGTCGACTGTTCAACCCATCATCTCTGAATCCTTTAGCAAAAGGGTTGTAATCTATTTTAAGCTGGGTAATCTGGATGTTCTGGTAGGCTGTAACTGCAAAGAACTCTGTCTGTGGAAAGGTGAAAGTATGGACATCGGGGCCATTGAGCTGGATGACTTCTGTGGCTTTGTCTGCAGGCACCAGATGAAGTCGGGGCAGATAGCGGTGCATAGAATGCAAGATTATATGACCCTCCTGGTCCAGCGTATTGTTGGTAAGTTTGAGTTTATAGAAGGATACCGGCTGGTGCATCCAGTACTGGCCAGTGGACGGTGATTCTGGATGAATAAACACTCGCCCTAGAACATGCGGTTCTGCCTTCCCGCTGGGCTCCCACCAACGGCCGTTCCATTTGTATCGGTGATTGTCCACGGGGGATATGTCCATGACTAGGATGTATTTCTGACTGGCATCCAGACCCGTAATCCAGTATCGGCAGTACGGGAACATGCGCCTCCCCTGCTTCGTCAGAATCATCTCTGTGTTGCGATGGTAGAATTCGTTCCACATACTGTTGTTATCTAGGGTTACAGTGATGCCCCCTGAGACACAGTCAGCAGGGAGGCAGGTCTTGACTTTGGATTTTACTGGAGTTGACACACTACTGGCAAGGGCACAAGCATCACGGTTTGCTACTAGGATTCCTTGGTCAGCTTTACCATTTCCCTGCTGCTGTTTCAAGATGACAAAAAAAGCAGGTGCTGCACCTGACACAGTCCCCCCATCCCGGTTACCCAAGACAATCTGCTGTTTCTCCATGATGAGCACTCTTATAAGCTCTCAAATCAAAGGAAAATTCTATACAGTTCTTCTGGATAATCTTCTACTTGTGTTCACCATTCTGAAAAAAAGGGAAACAAAGTTAAAATTATTAAAATACAGTCTCTCTAGAAAAGTAATTCAGTGTCAAGAAAAAATCTTTCAATATTTTTCCATGTTAAAAATATTTAGAAGATAATCGGTACTACAACATCAAACGCAATTAGGAGATAACAAATCAAGGTTACCTGTGCATATATAATGCAGGCCTTACAGACACATGGGCTATGACACCTTTAAACTGCATTTTCCTGACTCGCTCACTACATTGGAGCGCTCTTTGTTCTGATACTGTCTCAACTTTTCAGGTCACTTACTTAGGAAACATCAGCATTTGGCAAAACATACAAGCTCTCAGAAGAGCAAATGGCACATCTCTGACACAAAAACAGAAGTCATTTGCTCTTGCCAAAAAGAAGGAGGTCCCAGAGATCTAGAATTTCTGAAGATAAAAAGGGGAAAGGGAGAAAAAAATAATTAAAACCTTTTTCTCCACACTTCTTTGCTGAGAAAGACCAAGTTTTTGTGGTTGGGATTTCTTTGGGATTCCCCCACATATCTCCAAGATCTTCTACAAAGTCAGTCCAAGGCAAAGAAAGAATGGAAGAGGAAAAAAAAAAAAAAAAAGTCATTCAAGTGAGCAAGCATTGGGAAAAAATAAACAAACCAACCTCCAAAAAACCCAAGCAGCTAAGATTAAATGGTTGAATGGAAGACATCAGACAATCTTAACTACCGCTGTCTTCTAAATTATGGAAATAATATACGTGAAATCAGAAAACATTTGTACTGTTATCATTAGCCTTATCACTGTTTAGGGAACTAGAAAAAAAAAAATTACCTTTATCTGCACATACACAATTCCAATATTGTGCCTCTACCCCACAGGTAACTGTTATGTCAACGTTCTAACAGAAGATCATAAACAACTTCATTCTTAAACATTTTGTACACTTTTCAATGTAAAAGTTTAAGTGTTTTTTAGTAGCTGACAAGAATGCCGTTCCCACACTCAAACGTGTGGTTTCTTTTAACCTTATTGCATATGAAATGCAGCACTGACAAAAAATGATTCAGTAAATACTATGCAAGTGTGTAGCTGGAGGAAGCAGGAACCTGGGACAAGTTAAAAAAAAAAAAAAATCACCAGCAGTCAGTTGCTTAAATTCAATCATATTCAAATTAACTCATATTCACAAGTTTTAAGTGAATTAGGTATTCCATTAGTGGTATTTATTTTTGTTAGAACTGAATTACTGTAGGAGAAAGCGCCTCTCTATGTAAAACAATTCCCATACATATGTGGGAAATGACCTTAAAGCTCAGGAGGTGGAGAATTTAAACGCCTTGGTGAATGTTCTTGACGCCTAGTAAACATGAAACACCTAGTTCTACACTTTAAACCTTGCACTTTAGAACATCATATAAAAATTAAATCGGGGGAAAAAGCAATCTCTAAAGGTTTGGAGACCTGGGAAGTCAGAAGATAATTTTCTGTTTTATTTTAATGAGCAAAAATATTTTTTCCACATATCCAAACTTTAAGGAGTATGGCACACAAAATGAATTAGCTGTTCAAAACTAGCTGTATATTTCCTATTTTAAGAATGCTGCCCTGCTTTTTCAAAAGAGCATATGTGAAGTCCTGTATAAAGCACTGAAAAACAGAAGGGTATCCCAAAAAAGCTTTTTAATGTTTACCGATAAAAATGCAATAGAGATACAAAGCTTTGTTAAAATCATAGAACTGTGGAATGGAGAAGGAAATCACATCCCAAGTAAGTTGTGTGTGATTTTCCATCAACTTACCATCTCTATATATACATACAGCATGCTTATTGTATAAAACATACAACCAAAAAAGTAAGTTCAAATTAGTGCTGTACAATATACAACAAAATTCTAGCTGCTTATTAAGGAAATACACAACCAACATGGTTTATAATCAACAGTTTAAGATATGCAGAAAGCCTGTAACTGTAACTATTTCAGGCAGAACTCACAAACACCAGAAATAAATTCAAAAGAACTTAACAATCATGCATTCAGCAAAAATTACATGTGTATGAAGAGCTGCCGAGTCTGTTTGTCTTCCAATGCTGAAAGTTCTTACATGGGACTATTTTAGTTATTTATACCACAAGCAATGCTCACATTACCAAACAAGTCCAAGGCAACATCCATTACGTGATTATGTGCAATTATGGCACAGAAAACTGAAAGCTATGTTATTTTTGCACGAATATGGCCTATTACAAGAACAATTTCACACATCTTATTACACTTGGTCATACATGCTAACCTATTTTATTATCGCACAGAGCCTCTGCTACAGTATTCCAAGGCAAGTACGTGTATTTGAAGAAGTTCTAAGCAGCTTCAAAAAATATTTCACCTATCCATCCAGATACAGGCTATGACTTTAAATTTGAAAACTGACATCTAACTAAGCAAACAGGACAAAAATGTTTGAAGTCGCACCGGGAGGTGCAAAAAAGGCAGGAAAACGACGAGATGTGAAAGACCTGCTTGCGAGAGAATCTTCTGCCGACAAGACCATGATTTACACGTACAATGCGCGCAGGCACAGCATCACAGCATACGCAACTTTCTGTTGCAAAGGGCAAACACCAGACTGACATCTAACTAAGCAAACAGGACAAAAATGTTTGAAGTCGCACCGGGAGGTGCAAAAAAGGCAGGAAAACGACGAGATGTGAAAGACCTGCTTGCGAGAGAATCTTCTGCCGACAAGACCATGATTTACACGTACAATGCGCGCAGGCACAGCATCACAGCATACGCAACTTTCTGTTGCAAAGGGCAAACACCAGTAAGGGCTGCAAAGCCGGTGAAGAAATCTCAGCGCTCCTGCGAGAAAGCACGAGAGGCGCCAAAGCGGGGCCGCCGAGCC